TGTAAGCGCTTTAATGTTCACAAATTTTTCCCCACAACTCTGTAATGATAGGTAGTACAAGTATTCCCGTTTTTCAGATGAAGAAACAGAAGCTCAGAGAGGTTGAATGACTTATCCAATCACACAAACCCCTGGCTCCAAATCCAGCAATCTTTTCCATTCCATTTGCTTCAATAAACACTTATTAAGCACCCACTGTCTTCAAGGCCTGTGTCTAGGCTTAGGAGATATGGAGATAGATTTGACAAGGCCCTGCTTTGCAGAAGCTTACAATCTGAGTGGGGCAAAGATCCAAATAATTACATTACAAAAGTGGAGACAAGTGCAAAGGTCAGCTTTAGCCAAAGTGCTGCAAGAAATTTGAGGGGGCTGTATTTTCAAGGAAAACCCCTGAGCAACCAGCAAAAACTTCTTCTAATTCCTTAAAATTGGGACCAGGTGATCAACTGGGTTATCTGAGCAACTCTGACAGCTGATCATACCTTACCATCATATTCAAGTAAAACCCACACCAAAGATTCTCTGACACATGTAATGGCTACTGTGCTTGGTAACTGGGGGTAAACGGTGAACCAGTCAATATGATAGGCAGGCTAAAGTTAGTTACTTTCATGGTCAAACCACAACCCTCATTTTTCCTCTTTTCACTTTTATAACTTTCCAGGTACCTTCCATCTTAAGTTCTCCTTGATCCCATGTGTGTTCTCATCTGCATAAAAAAACATGCATTAGATGCCTCTCATCACGCTACAAAGGCTGTACTGAGAATCAGCTACATGCACAAGGCAGTGGCACCAGGGACATAAAGATAAGGTAGTGGAAAAAGCAGTGAGCCATAAGTCTGGGGACTTGGGTTCTCTAACCACTAATTCAGGGTGCAGTTTTGGGCAGGTCACTTTCTTTCTCTGGTTCTCAGTTTCCCTGTCTCTAAAATGAGGGGGATTGGCCTAGATGGCCTTTTAAAATCCCTTCAGTCTCTTCCATTCTGTGACTCTGGGTATTTAAGATCTGATCCCTACCTTTGAGCATCTTACAGTCTTGCTGAAGAGTAAGGTTAGTCATAAAGAAACCATTAAGGGGCAGCTAGGTGGCACAATGGATACAGCACCGGCCCTGAAGTCAGGAGGACCTGAGTTCAAATCTGGCCTCAGACCAAACACTTGACACTTACTAGCTATGCGACCTTGGGCAAGTCACTTAACCCCGCTTGCCTCAAAAAAAAAAAAAAAAAAAAAAAGAAACCATTAATACAAAATAACAGGTGATAAGTGCTAGATGAGTAATACAGACAATAAGAGCTTAGGAATTCAGAGAAGAAGTGGGCTAAGGTGGTAACGGTAGGCTTAGTTGGGAGGGTCTGGGGAATAGGGTTAAACTGGGCCTAGAAGGAGGAGGAGAATACCCTACATATGAGGAAAGGTATGAGCAAGACCATGGATGCAGATATACGCATCTGAGAAGTCAGAGACCTTCATAATCAATCCAAATAGCATTTTCTAAGTCATTGCTATATGCAAGACGTGCTGCATTGAGGATATAAAGATTTTTTAAAAGATAATATCTCAAAACTCAAACGAGTTTGAAATCTAATTGGAGAGTTAAAATAGTTACACACAAATACAATATAAAGTAAAATGTGATACAGGTGAAGAAGTGAGATATCTGAGAGTTTGACCTCAGTTTCAAGAAAAGTTCCATGAAGAAGACAGTATCTGCCCTGGGTCTCAAGAGAAGAGAATTTCAATAGGTTGGACATACAAGTATATTCCAAGCAGTACCATGCATGAAAACACAGAGGTGGCAAAAGGGGAAACTGCTAATATTTCAGCTAGGTTACAACATGGAGAAAGAACATGAAGATATATGAAGCTGGAAAGGCAGGTCAGAACCATTATGTGACTCATGCCATATATATTTCTATTACCAGGCTATTTTTCTCCTATAGAAAAGGAGATACTGTATGGATATGACACAGCCATACCAGCACCAGAAATGCAATTCTTGCAGCTGTGGGAAGGATGGACTGAAGAAGGAAGACACCAGAGACGGTAAAGCCCTTTAGGAAGCCTTCAATAAATTCATGTTAAACTGAACAGAACTGAAATGAGGCCTTTAGAATAATCCAGTTGAGAGGTGATGAAGGCCAGAACAAGGGTGGTGATAGTGGAAATGGGGAGCATGAGATACAAGGAAGCCGAACTGAGAGACCCTCACAGGTCCTTGGATGTGAGGCAAGAGAGGTAGGGAAAAGGTTCAAGTCTATGTGGCTGGGAGGATGGTATGGGGGGAGCAGGTTTTAGGGGAAAGATGGTGAAATCCATTATGGAAATGGTACTTTTGAGTTGCTGTTGAGCCATCCAGATGGAGACATCCAGCAGAGAGCTGGAAAATACAGGAGAGATGTTGGAGTAGTAGATAGATTTGAGAATTATTTACATTAAGAAGATAAATGAAACCATGGAAGAGGATGATATCAACAGCATCTCACATTTATATATGGCTTTAAATTTTATAAAGCCCTTCCTTCCCACAACCCTGTGAGGTAGGTAATGCAAATACTGATTTACCTATTTTAAAGGAAAGGAAACAGGACTCCAAAGAGTGAAATGATTTGCTCATCAACAGACAGCTAGGAAGCATTGGTGCCAAGACCACAACACAGGTGTTTTGACTCCACCCACAGCACATTTTCCATAATACTAAACTACTTGCCAAAAGGAGTGAGAGACAGAGTCTTGGGGGACACCTACCCTGGGCAGGGGGAGGGGGAAAGAGAAAGAAGAGGAATTAAATGAAGGAGATCAGGTGTAGATAGAGTATCTGGAAGAAAAGAGTGATCAACAGTGTCAAATGCTATATAAAGGTAATAGAAAATTAGAAGATCAAACTTCTTTTCCTTTGATAGCTGTCTTCAAGTATTTGGAAGGCTGTCATGAAAGACTGTCATGTAGATGAGGCTTGTTCTTTGCTTTTGAGAACAAACCTGGAAGTTTTACAGAGGCAGACTTTGGCTTGAAATGTGGAAAAACCAAAATGTTTACAGGTGGAATGGGGAATAGGCTGCCCAAGAAAGTAAAGCATTTCCCACTCTTCAAATAGAGGCTGAATAGCCATTTGCTGGGAACGTCCTAAACAGAATATCTGAAGGAGTATTCTAGGTGTACTCAACTAGGTGTACTCCAAGGTCCTTTCTGAGATTCTGTGAGACCTAGATGTCCTGTAAGACAAATGGCCCAAGTAAACTAACACTTTGGACTACAGGGGTTTGGATAGCTTGCCTGAATGGGAAACTGAACCAGACTGGGAAGGATGGGAGAGATCACAGTGGAAAAGGGCCCTGGATCCCCTACACTTGGAGTTTTGGGGCTGGGGAAAGGGCGAGTAGTTTCTGCTTAGGCAGGGAAGGGAACAGAATGTGAAAGAAGGCTCGGGGAAACTTGATTGACAGAGGGGTCCTAGGGCTAAAAGTGGAAGAAGTTGTGGTCCTCAACTCCTAGTAGCTCCCAGGAATTGGTCTCCAGCATCTACAGCTAAATCTCTTAACTTCTGCTCTCCAAAAAGCAACAGTCCTCTTGGAGTCTCCCTTCTTACCTTGCCCTTTGCTTTCCATGGTGACCCATTCCTTTCGGCCCCAGTATATCTCCCTCTGCTAACTGAGGCCTGAAACTCCCAGGAGTTTTAGAAGAGAAAATTTTTCATTACTTTGTAGAATTTAGAACTGTAAGGTCCTAAGCTCATTTAGTCCAACTCCTTCATTTTACAAAGGTGAAAACTGAGGCACAGAGAAGAGAAAGGTTTTTTAAGGACATTTGTTGTTCAGTTGCTCAGTCACGTCCAACTGTTCACGACCCCATGGACCACAGCATGCAAGACCCTTCTATTTCCCACTGTCTCAAAGTCTGTCCAAGTTCCTGTTCATTGTTTCTATGACACTCTAGCCATCTCATCCTCTGCCATCTAAGGTCATATAGATAGCAAGGAGCAGAGCCAGAATTCAAACTAATGTCTTCAGACCCCAAAAACAGTTACTTCCATATCAGATATGAGGCTTAAAGTGCAAACACAGAGGAGACAGTTAAATAAAACTCACATTAGAAAGTATAAATGGCAATAACCTTTCCTGTTTTGCTAGGGGAAGGAGATCAGAAAGCTTTAGATCCCTGGGTATTGGGGGCAAAGAGGAGGTAGGAGTGAGACCATCAGTTACCAAATGAAGTAAAGGAACCAGGAGACAAATTTCACTTATTTCATAATTCTGCTTAAAGCCAGAAGGATATTATCTCATGTCGAGTTCAGAGAGATCACTGCAGCCTCTGATGCTGTGCTGTCTAAAAGTATGGGTGGAAAAGGGAAGAAGAGATGAGCTAGGCTAAGGCATTCATAACTGCAGCATTCTTCCCTCAGAGTCATGTCAATCAAAATAGCCAGAAACTCTCTCCTATTCCCAGCCCCAAATACACGCCCAAAAGAGAAATCACTCAAGAACTCAGAAGAGAAAGGGCCTAATGGGGAAATATACCCTATGAATAGGGTCTCTTGGTTCCTTCAGTTCACAATGCTTGATATTTCTTTACAAAAAGAGCGGGTCAGCTGTTCCACTGACAATGATTCCTATTAATGTAACTGAAATTATTCAACAATAGGTAAAAATACTATCTTAACAAATGCTATTTTCAATGAAGAATTTTCTTTAGCAATTTCCCCCAAAATCCTGGCAAATGGCCAAGAGCTAACAGTGCTTTATGGACAGATTTTCAACAAATTCTAAATAACCACAGGCCCTGACCCCAGGGATCTTACAATACTGCATGGGTTCACAAAGTCTGACTAAAGCCATCCCCATTTGTTATATTCACTGGATGACTCTCTTATGTGAACACTCTTGATACTGAAATAAAGGTTGAGCTGGTAACCAATATTTTCCAACATTCCTTATACTCTCCAGTGTGAATTCTGAATAACATAACCTCTAAATAAAAACTTTTCATTACTACATTTATGGGTTTATCTCTAGTGTGAATTCTTTTGTGTGAGTCCTTTGGTGCCGAGTAAGCCGAGAGCTCTGACTAAAGGCTTTTCCACATTCCTGACATTCAAAAGGTTTCTCTCCAGTGTGAATTATCTGATGTTTAATAAGGTTGGCTCTCTGATTGAATGCATTACCACAATCTTTACATTTATAGGGTTTCTCACCAGTGTGAATTATCTGATGTTTAATAAGGTTGGCTCTCTGACTAAAGGCTTTACTACATTCTTTACAGTTATAGGGCTTCTCACCAGTGTGGATTCTCTGGTGTTGGATTAGGTGTGAGCTCCGACTAAAGGCTCTACCACATTCATTACATTCATAAGGTTTCTCTCCAGTGTGAATTCTCTGGTGTTGAATAAGATGTGAGCTCCGACTGAAAGCTTTCCCACATTGATCACATCCATAGAGATTTTCTCTAGTATGAATGCTCTGATGTTGATTAAGTCTTGAGCTCCAACTGAAGCCTTTCCCGCATTCATTACATGTATAAGGTTTCTCACCTGTATGAATTCGTTGATGTCGAATAAGAGTTGAACTTTGACTAAAGGCTTTCCAACATTCAGTACATTTATAGGGTTTCTCTCCAGTGTGAGTCCTCTGATGTCGAATAAGTTGTGAGCTCCGACTGAAACCTTTCCCACAAATATCACATCTATAGGGTTTCTCACCAGTATGAATTCTCTGATGTAGAACAAGGTCAGAATTATATTTGAAGCTTTTGACACAAGCATAACATTTATGGGCTCTTTCTCCTACAACATCTCTCTGATGTGGGATATGGTTTGGATTTAGGCCAAAGTTTCTCCCAAATTCTTTATATTCCTGGGCTTTCTCTCCGTGAGCCGTTTTCTTGTGGATCATATTTACTGGCCTAAATTGAATTTTTTGGGAAAGGGATTCCCTCAGAATCATCCCAGCAGAGTTTCCCTGATGATTTCCTAACCTGTCAGATCCACAAATTTCTCCAAAATTATGTTTCTGAGGAATATCCATTAGGAATAATTCTGACATCCTTCCGTGCAATAGAGTATGCAATTGTACATCTTCTGAAGTTTCCTCTTCTCCATATGACCACATATTCTCAGTCTCTCTTTCATAATCTGAAAAAATAAGAAAATGTCATTATCTCTTATACTGGGAGAAAGAAACTGCTGGTGTAGGAAAAGGATTATTAAAAAAAAAAGAAAAATAGTCCACATTTACATAGTATTTTGCAGTAAACATCACTGACGTTAGTATCTAAGATATGGCTTTGATAGATCTCAAAACTGCTTTAGAACCTGGAGAAAGAATGGAAGGGACAGTAGTAGTTTGAATTGGAACAAGGGAATGAGGTATAAGGAGTGGCTCCCACAGAAAGGGGTAGTCAGAGAAGGAAGGGTAGAAGACTATCAGGGGAATATGCTGCTGGCAGAACGTAGATGTGCACAGGAAGTTCACAAGGTGACAAAAAGGGAATAAGGGAGGTATATTTAGGGCTGGCAAGAGTTTCAAGGAGTGTGGAAAATGAGGACAAGGAAAATGACAAAAAGAAGGCTCAGAGATGACAGGTATAATGAAGAGAGTTATCTACCCAATAGGAGCTCTGAGTGAGGAACTGTGAAGTTGTCATTGCCACAAGCTAGTTAACCCTGATGTCACTGATGTACCTCCCCAGTAACCTATCACCTGCACCTGGTCCCTTAAGCCACTACCCTTCTTACCCTTCGGTCTCCTCCCCTCTGTGACGCTGACCGTTAGCTCCATGTTTTCTTAGGCTCTTTTCTTTCATGCTTCCACAGAACACACACCACACCCTTAGATAATCCAAACTAAGTACAACTCATCCTCCAGCCATTGTTCCCTCTTTTCTCAGGAGGTAGGGGTGGTTGTTTACTTTCAAAATCTGTACTCCCCTTGGAGCCTTACTTCCTTTTTAGAGTCCTTCCAAAGTGACTCCATCCTAGACCAGCACAGGGCCCACACCTACTGCAATCATCAAACACTTCCCCACCTCCAAATCAACACAACCTTTCTCCATTTGTTCTCTCCTTGATCAGCTACTTTTGTTAACCAAGCACTGAAACATATTCTCCAGTACATTCTCTGACACAAACTTCCAGTTATTGCCTCCACTGCTCCGTTTTCTAATTCTTGGGCTACCTCTGAAAACCTCCACCACATCAGAAAAATGTCACAGCACTTGATTCTAATAGCAAATCACTGTCTTCTCTGAACCTGCCCCACCTCCCAACATTCTTCCTTCTAATGATGGCACCACAAGGTGGTCACACTATTCATATTCACTTTATCTTTCTCACTAATAGTGCAACCACCCTATGCTCAGTCCCTCACTACTCCTCACCTAGACCAGGGCTTCTTAAATATACTGCACTAGTGACCACTTCAGCACTTCTTAAACTGTTGGTATCGATCACTGCTTCAACTGAAAACGTGACAGTTTTAAGAAGCATGTCCTAGAGAACTCTGTTAGGCTCCCAACTGGTCTTCCTGTCTCCAAAGGCTGCCAAAATAATCTATGGGCATCCAGGGAATTCACCTCATCATTTCCCACCTGCTTGCTTCCTTACACTTCATCATCTCCAGAAACTCATCAATCTACAAGATGAAATCAATTCTGAAACTTATACCTTCTCAAATCCTTTCCCACCTGGCTGTAGAACTTCATCATGCCCTACTGGTAACCTCCTCCCCCAACCCATTTTTCAGCATATTTTTATGTGTTATCTCCCCCATTTGATTGTTGAGTCCCTCAAAGGCAGGGACTATCATACCTTTCTTTGTATCTTCAGCTTAGCATAATGCCTGGCACACAACAGGTGCTTAAAAATATTTACTGATTCTGACTCTTTACTCAGCTGCCAAAATAGTCACTGTCATTCCCTTGCTCAAAAATTTTCACTGGATCCTTATTACCTCTAAAATAAAGTGTTTATCCTAGCATGCACAGCCCTCTGCAATATGACTCCAGTCTTTCCAGCTTTATTTCCCACTACTTCCCTTTATATTATCTGACTTCTGGCCAATTTAGACCACAACTATGTCTATGATGATGATGATAACTACAACCACAACTAATAATAGTAATAACTATAGCATCTAGCATAGTACTTTAAAGTTTGTGAAGCACTTAGCATAGGTTTGCTCACATGATCCTTACAACAACTCTGTGAAATAGGTACTATTATCATCCCTATTTTATAGATGAGGAAACTGAGAGGGAAAATGATTAAGTGGTTGCCCAGGATCACTTAGCTCAGGAAGTGTTTGAGGCAAGTTTTGAACTCAGGTCTCAGACTCCTTGCAATTCCTTGAACAAGATATTCTATCTCCCCACTCCAGGCATTTTCTTCTCTCTTCTTTTCTTTTCTTTTCTTTTTTTTTTGGCTAGGCAATGGGATTAATTGACTTGCCCAGGGTCACACAGCTAGTAAGTGACAGGTGTCTGAGGCCAGATTTGAAGTCAGGTCCTCCTGACTCCAGAGTTGGTGCTCTATCCACTGTACTACCTCGCTGCCCCCACTCCAGGCATTTTCACAACTGTGTCCTGTGCCTGGATGATCTCTCTTCTCATCTCTCCCTCTTGGCTTCCTTCAAGTCTGAGCCAATATCTCACCTTCTACAAGAAACCTTTCCCAGTCCCCCCTCAATGCTAGTTTTCCCTCTGTGATTACCCTCACTTTATCCTGTATATATCTTGTATGTACATAATTGTTTCTATGTCTGTGATCTTAGACTGTGATCTCCTGAAAGGCAGGGATCGTGCCTTTCTTTGTATCCCCAGCACTTAGCATGGTGGCTGGCACTTAGTGATGCTTAATAAATATTTGTTAACTTGACTTACACTTTCCTCACAAAAACTCCATTAGGCAGGCAGCCATTTTATAGATAAGGAAACAGTCTGAGAAGCTGAGTTTGAATTTGGACACAAGGCTAGCAAACATCCGAGGCAGGATTCAAACTCAGGCCTCCTAATTCTAAATTTAGCACTCTATCTACTATGTCTCTCAGCAGACTGAAAGTCCCCTATAGACAAAGACTGTCATTTATTGTAGCAGGGATTTTTTATTAAATGTTGAATTAAAATTGAATTAAATTACTAAACTTGTATATTTTTTTCTGAACCTGGATTTATTAATCAATCACCAGCATAATTTGGTAGCCTAGAAAGCTAATGAAATCTTAGGGTGCTCTCAGCAAGCCACAGCATCCAAAGCTAGAGAACCTCCATGGTGCTCTGCCCTGGTCATACCACATCAGGAATATTGGGTTCAGTTCTAGGTACAACATTTTAGGAAGGACATTTGTAAGCTAGAGAGATTAGAGAATATGTTACCAGGATGATGAAGAACCTCAAGTTCATGACATTTGAGATTCAGTTGAAGGAACTAAAGAGAAGAATTACTGGGGAAAAGAGAGATGTATTCAGGTATATGAAGGGTAAAATGGAAAAGGCATTAGACTTATTTGTTTGGCCCTAAAGAGCAGAATAGGAATAATGGGAAGAAGTTACAAAGAGGCAGTTTGATGTAAGGGAGAATTTCCTAATAATTAGAAGTATCCAAAAGTGAAATGGGCTTCCTCTGGAGTAACTTCCCAAAGGCTAGATGGCCACTTGTTAGGTATGCTGGAAAGAAAGTTGTTTTTCAGGGATGGGTTGAACGAGATGATCACTGAGGTCTCTAGCTGTGATTCCTCTTGGTTCCCTTTCATCTCTAATAACAGAGTCTCCCCATTGCTTCTGGTCCCACTCTCTGGGGCAAAGCAGAACAGGTCTAAGCCCTATTCCTCCTGACAGTTCTTCCAATATATGAAGATAGCAATTATCTCTCTCCCCCTCCCCACTCATACCCTCTATTACTCTCTATTGTCTAGTCTGAGAAGTCTTCATCTTTTATCTGGATTATTTTGAGTTGTGTTCAATAGAACTGGTACTCCATTCAAAATCCATCCCGATCCAGCTGCACCCAAAGCCAAAAGCAAAATCATAACTGCTCTATATCGCCAGAAAGGCTTTTTGTTCTCTCATGGATCAGTAGAGATCCCTAGCCTATGCTTTAAAGCTTGCTCTAAGAGGTACTGTGTGCTCTCACTTTTCTCATAGTCTTTGCCTTCCATTTTCTCTTGAACTAACACTCAGAATCATCTCCATCTGCTCCTCCCTACACCAAAATATTCTAGAAGATGAGGGTAACTAATGTTCCCTCCTGGACCTTACACAGTACTTTCTTCTGTACCTGTCTAATATGCTTGTGTAAAACTATTATGTTTATTTGGGTTTGGGTTTTATTCCCATATTGGGGCAAAGATTGTTGTCTTACCTAAATTCTATACCTCCCCTGCTGAGAGACAGTGAAAGAATGATGACTTTGATTTAATAAATACTCTCTGACAGACTGATGGATTTGGTTTCCAGTACCTAGTTTTTTCCCTCATTCACCTGTACAGGAGGTTCTCAGGGTCTCCTCTCTTTCCTCAGATCCTTGCAGATCCAAGGCCCATAGCTCTTCTCCTTGCTCCAGCTGGTAAATCAGGTCAGGTTTGGAAACTGGAAATCCTGCTCACGAGAAGAGAAATAAGATGGGAAGTATCCATGCATCACAGGGAAAACAGGCCTGTTTTGGGCTTGGTCCTAGGCCCTGGGGATATAGAGAAAGGAGAAGAAGAAACAGCCAGAGTCTAAGCTAGGAAGACCCAGAGGGGCAAGAAGAGGCCTGAAAGGAACATACTCCTAGGAGGCTGCATGTTTTGGGGTGGGAAAGGGAAGAAGGGCTTAGTCCAATGGCACCCAAAGAGGAGGAAACACCCTCTTCAGAGTAATAAAAAGTCACCAACTGCTGAAGCCAACCACACCACCCTTGGGAAGCTCTGTTAGAAATGTTTTCCTCTCCTCAGGCCTAAATGTGCCTCTTTGCAATTTCAACCCATCACTCCTAGTTCTTCCCTCTGGGGGCACATCCACACCACATCACACATCATCAAACATGTGACAACATCCATCTACCCAGTAATGCCCTTGACAGGATAAATTGATCCTCCCTTCATTAACCTGGCTGCCTTTCTCTGGATATTCTCTAGTTGATCAATGTCCTGCCTAAAATGTGTTGCCTGAAGCTGGACGTGGTTTTCCAGATGGGATATGAGCAAAGTAGATTATGGTGGGATTATCACATTATTTATGGATGCTACACCTCTTAGTGCAGACTGAGATTTCGTTATCCTTCTTGGCTGCTTTATTACATTGTTTTATTTTTAAATTTATTCTGAATTTAAACATAAAATAAAATGAGTATTTTCATATATATATTAGAACAGAAAAAGAGGACTACCCATGAAACTGCAGATCTCTACTAAGTACAGCTTGCTTTTTAAAAAAGGATACATAAGTTCAACTTTGAACTTTCAAAGCCATCCTATTTGTCTATGTTTCTTCCTGACTTTCCCTCTGTTCTCTACATTTTTAAAAAGGATGCCTCAATGACCCACTTTTCTTTTTCTTCTTTTCCTTTTGGCTACCCTATCCCTACTTCCCCTCCTCTACCTACTCCCCACAATGGAAAAAAAAAAGAAAAAAAAATCTTTGTAACAAATATGTAAAGTCAAGCAAAACAAAATCACATTGATTGTGGTCAAAAGCATATACCTTATTCTGTATCCTGAGTCTATCACCTCTCTGTTAAGAGGGAGGTAGCAGCTTCATCATCAGTCCTCTGCATCTGCAGTTGATCACTGCATTGATCAGAGCTCTCAAGTTTTCAAAGTTGTTTTATCTTTACAATGTTGCCGTTATTGTACATAGTGTTCTGGTTCTACTCAATTCACTCCGCATCTACTCATACAGGCCTTCTCAGATTCTTTCTGAAAATATTCATTTTGTCACTTCTTAATGGCACAATAATATTCCATTACTTTCATATAATATAATTTGTTTGCCATTCCCCAGTAGACAGGCACCCATTTAATTTCCATTTCTCTGCTACCACAAAAAGAGCTGTAAATATTTTTGTATGTGAGTCCTTTTCCTCTATGATCTCTTTAGGGTACAGGCCCAGTAGTGATACAGCTAGGTTGTAGGCTATACCCAGTTGTAGACTATATGACTTTTGGGGCATAGTTCCAAGCTGCTTTCAAAATGGCTAACCCAATTCACAGGTCCACTAATAGTTCATCAGTATGTTGTTTTACTGCAGTCCTTCCAACAACTGCCATTTTCCTTTTTTATTATCTTTGTCAATACGATTGGTGTGAGGTGAAACCTCAAAGTTGTGTTAATTCACATTTCTCTAATTATTATTGGTTTAGAACATCTTAATGGATATTGACAGCTTGGATTTCTTCCTCTGAAAACTACCGTTCATATCCTTTGACCATTTATCTACTAGGGTTATGGTTCTTGTTCTTATAAATTTGTGTCAGTTCCCTATATATATGGAAAATGAGACCTTTATCAGAGAAATTTCCTGTAAAGATTTTTCCCCAGCTATTTTTTTCTTCTAATTTAACTGTATTGGCTTTCTCTGGGGACAAACTTAAAATTTTATGTAATCTAAATTGTCCATTTTATCTTCTGAGATATATAAGATCTGTGATTCTTTTTATTTCTTCATTATGAACTCTTCCCTTATCCACAGAACTGAAAGGTTAATTTCTTCCTTGTTCCTCTATTTTGTTTATGATATCACCTGTTATGTCTAAGTCATGTATTCATTTGGAATTTATTTCACCATTGTGAGGTATTGGTCTATACATAATTTCTGCCAGACTATTTTCCAGTTTTTCTGGCAGTATCTGTTGAAGAGTTACCTCAATAGCTGGGGTCTTTCATGTTTAAAGAGCCCTATGTTACTTTGTTTATTTATCTATTTATATATCATACCTAATCTGTTCTACTGATTGTCCTCTTTATTTTTAAACTACTATCAATTTGTTTTGATAATTAATGCTTTGTAGTATAATTTGAGATATGGTACTACTAGACTCTCTTCTTTCCCATTTTTTTCATTATTTCTCTTTAGATTCTTGACCTTTTGTTTCTCTAGATGAATTGTACCCACCCCACCCCACCCCACCCCTGACTCCATAAAATAATCTTTTGGTACTTCAAATGGCATGACACTGAATAAGTAAACTAATTTGGGTAGTACTGTCATTTTTATTTTATTAGCACAGCCTTCTCATGAGCAATTAATATTTCTCCAATTATTTGGGTCTTTCTTTGTTTCTATAAAGTGTTTTATAGTTGCATTCATTATAATTCACGTGTGTCTTGATAAAAAAAAAATTCCCAAGTATTTTTTACATTCTGTATTTAGAATGGAATTGCTATGTCTCTTCCTGGGGTTTGTGAGTTTTGTTGGTAATATAGAGAAATGCTGAGTTCTATGAATTTTTTTTATATCCTGCAAATTTGCTGAATTGTTTCAATTAATTTTTAGTTGACTCTTCAGGGTTCTCTACATGGACCATCATATCCTCTGCAAAAAAAGCAATAGTTTGATTTCTTCTTTGCCTGTGTTTATTCCATCAATTTCTTCTTGTCCTATTCTAATAACCAGCATGTCTAATACTGTATCAAATAGTATTAGTGATAATGGACATTCTTGTTTTACCTGTAATCTTATTGGAAAGGTCCTTCATTTTAATTTTATATATATTATTTAACATACTAAAGAAATGTCCATTTATTCTATGATTTCTACTATTTTTAACAGAAATGAATGTTAATTTTATCAAAATCTTTTTTAGTATCTACTCATATAAACAGTTTTTATTATTTATGTTATTAGCATGATTTATTCGGTTTATATTTATTCTTATATTGAACTAACCTTGTATTACTAGTATAAATCCAACCTGTCATAGTGTATAATAATAATAGCACCTACTATGTGCCAAGCATATGTTAAGTGTTTTACAAATTTTTGATACAACTCTGGGAGGTAGGTGCTATTCTTAACCTCATTTTACACCTGAAGAAAGTGAGGCAAATAGAGGTAAAGTGACTTGCCCAAGGTCACATAACTAGTTAAGTGTCTGAGGCTACATTTGAACTTAAGTCTTCCTGACGAGGCCCAGCTCTCTATCCACTTTGCCATCTAGCTGTATAATATTTCAAATATGATGCTGTAGCCTATTTGCTAATATTTTACTTAAAATGTTTGTGGTAATATTCATTCACTGCTTTGTCGGTACTAGGACCATACCTGTATCATAGAAGGAGACTGGAAAGGCACCTATTTTTACACATAATTTATGTAATCTGTAGATTATTTGTTCCTGGAATCTTGGAATTCACTCATAAATCCACCTGGTCCTGGAATTTTTTCTGTTAGGAGTTCATTTGTGGCTTGTTCAATTTCTTCTCCTGATACTGGGTTATTTAAATAATTTTTACCTTTTTCTGTTAATCTGAACATTTTGTATTTCTTAAGTATTCATCTATTTCATTTGTTATTGGCTTTGTTAACATGTAAATAACCAAAATTGTTTCTGATAGTTTCCTTTATGTCTTCTTCAGTTGTTCTGAATTCTTTTTTTTATTTTTGATACAATTTGGTTTTCTTCTCTTTTTACTTAATCAGACTACTTATTTTATTAGTTTTTCCCCCAAAAAAAACCAGCTCCTAGTTTTATTTATCAGTTCAATGGAGTGTTTTTTGGTTTCAATTTTGTCAAGCCATTTACATTTTTTTTTCAGAATTTCTACTTTAGTGGTTAGTTTTGGAAAATAATGTTGTTTTTTCAGTTTTTTTTAATTAAATGCCCAGTTCATTAATTCATTCTATCTTCTGTTGATGACATCTAGAAATATAAATTTCCCCTAAGGATTGTTTTAGCTGCATCCCCTAAGTTTTTATATATTGTCTTTGATGAAATTGCCATATCACTTGTTGACTAATATTAATCTTGCTGTCAAATAAAACACCAAGATTTTTCCAGAAGAACTGCTTTCTAACTATATATCTCCCATCTTATACTTGTGAAGTTGATTTTTTTTGGACCCAAATGTAAGACTTTACATTTATCCCCATTCAATTCAGCTCAACATTTTAGCCTATTGAGATCTTTTAGAATCTCATACTGCTACCCTGTTTAAAGTCCTGGGATCCAGCATATTAGCTAAGGCTCTCAGCTTTGCGTCTTTTACACTCTGATTCCTCTTTCTCTATGATAACATCTCAAATCTTGACAAGACCTATCAATTGCCCTTTAAGTCTCCCTTTTCTGGGCTAAATATCCTCAGTCCCTTCAACTGGTGCTCCTACAGAATAATCTTTATTCCCTTTACCATCCTGGCCCCTCTCTTCAGAAGCCATTCCAATATATAATAATATCCCTCTTAAAGTGTGTTGCCCAAATAGGACATATGCTCATTTGGTTTCTATCTGCTGGAAAATTCCCACCAGTTTCACCCAAATGCCCCTAGACAAGACAGTGGTCTTTCAGTTATACAAAGGGAGACATACTTAATAAGTGCTTTTTTAATGAATGAATTGTGGAAGGCCATCTGAAGAAAGCTCAAAAGATGTGGGAAACGTAACCTATGGGATAACTCAAAGAGCTACCTGCTTTCACATACTATAGAAAACAAATTGTCTGAGAACAAAAAACAAGAGCATCTTGTTTTGGGGTCCTGAATCATAGAGGTTTCACAGCTTACTGCCACATAAGGAAGCTATGAGGTACCAGAAAGCTAAATCTATAAAGTCCTTACCCAGCCAGACCATGTTCCCATAATTCTCCAGCATCACATCCCTGTAGAGAGCCTTCTGATTGGAGTCCAGATGTGTCCATTCCTTCCTTGTGAAATACAGAGCCACATCCTCGAACGTCACTGCTTCCTGAAACAGCACATTCACATTTTGGGAATGATAAACTCTCTCCTTGTCCCATCTCTGCATCCTATAGAATACATCTCTGCTGACCCAGGAATGAATCTCCCTCAGCCCCCCACTCATTGGGGTAGAGGCAGCAGGGTAAGGAAGAGAAAGAAATAGATTTAGAAGTAGAGAAGTGGCATAAGGCTTTTAGTGGAAGGCTCATCCCCAAGTCTCAAAAAATACCTAATGAAGCTAAAAAATATCCAGATAAAGAGAAGGCCAACAACCAATATCAAAGCAATGGGAGGATCATCTGTGAGTCTGCTACGAGAGCTCAGATCAATCAATCAGTAAATATGTGCCAACCACATAAAAATAATTGGGTATCTTCAGTCTGGAACTTGAAGTTTAGAAGAGATATGGCCAGTTTATAAGTTAGAGACAGATGAATATCGATGTATTTAGCAAATTTTAGACATGAGAACTAAAGTGTAACCATTGAAGCTTGAAAAGGATAAATTTAGGACAGAGAAAAAGTATTGCTACTTTATTACCCCATAAGGTAGAAACAGGCTTAGTCCAAAAAAAAAGGTCCAAAATCAAGACAAATAAGGTGAAAAGGCCTATCTGTACAAAATAAGTTAAAGCAACACTGTACAACAGTGAAACACTGAAAACATTATATGCCCAGCAATTGAGGAATGGCTCAGTAGTGGCACATATATGTAGTGGAATTATCACTGCAGCACAAAGAATGGTCAATGTGACAAATATGAAAGAAATATTGAAAGATGTGCATAAATTAATGCACACAGAAGGAATGAGAACCAAAAGAACAATACACACACATTACAGCTTTATAAATTAAGACAATATTAAACGACAAAACTCATGGCAAATACAGGGAGCAACATCGAAATGACCCTGCTAAAGTTACTGCACATGTAATTCAACTCTTTTAACAACTGGAAGATAAATAATAGAAGGCTAGGACTCTACATATAATCATTTACAACTTCATTTTAGTATTGTTTTTACAGCTTTCTGGGAGTGAGATATTTTCTGGTTTTTGCTTTATTTGGGTTTTGAAAAAAATTCTTGCTTATGATTTTGCTTTTGATCACTGTTCATATATTTGCACTGTTCATATAATTTTTGCTTTGATTACTGTTTGTACTTTTCATGTTCATACTTTACTTTTAAGTTCATATTTCATAGTGTTTATTCATTACTATGTATCAATGGACATTAATAATACAAAATATCTCCATAAATATTTTTTAAAAATCAAAGTTAACTATTTGTTTGAGGTTTTTAGGCAAACTGGAAATGTCTGGATTGAGTGTTCCTCATTTACAGTTTAACCTTAGCCACATGGTTTCAAATCCAGCTTCTGATACTCACCACCTGTATGACATTAGCAAGTCACTGAACCTCCCTGGGCCTCAATTTCATCATCTGTAAAATAAAGAGGCTGGGCCAGACGGCCTCTAAGGTCCCTTCCAGTTCTAATCTGTGAATAAATTATTCCAAAGTGTACTGAGAAGTGTTTATGGGAAACTGATCGGACCTAAATAGAGCAAGAACATGGGATTCACTTTCTGTGGCGACTCTTACATTGCTTTTGTCCCAGGAGATCCCAGCTGAGCTATCCTAAGACCCTTTTTGTGTGATGCCTGTGGGGAGGGGGATTCCTAACGCATGGACACAAGGCACCTATGACTGCTTGGCAGTGCAGGGGCCCCCAGCATGATTGAGGTGACCCCTGCTAGGAGACTGGGGTTGTAGGAGGAGAGCCTCACTAAACATGAATGGTGTCACTTCTAGTGCCCAAACGAGTATTCCCTCTCATTTTGTTTTAAACTTTGAGCACACCATCAAGCTACCCAAACAAGACCGTGAATTCTGAGTAGCTCTGGTACAGTGTTGCGTTATACAGATGACTTACATAAGCTTCCCTATGTACTCCCACAGAGTGTTAACAACAACTTGGCACTGTAAATAGCAGGCATTTAATAAGTGTTTGTTGAGTGAGTATTGATTGAAACACTACAAATTCAATCTTTTACCCTCAGATGGAATGATTTTAAAAGTTCCAGGTGGAAGGTGAGGATGGCAGGGGAAACAGTGGCTATCTGGGAAGCAAGATGGAAGGACACCAAGCACCAATGTTCCTCTTCAAACCCTGCTTAGTTTAACTCATAACTCCCCCCCTACTACTTCTCCACCTCTACCCCACTAGCCTTCCCATGCTCACAATGCCTCCAACTCTAAAACCACCTCCTTCAAATGACGAGTTCCCCCCCAAACCTCCATTTGAGGAAGTACCCATACCAGTCATAACTTAGAACCCAGCTCGGTTCGTAACCCCCTGCACTGCTTTTCCACGTTGTCCTGCTTGGGTATCTTAACCTGCTTTTCAATTCTTTTTTATGTGTTATCTTCCTCCATTAGGATGTAAGCTCTTTGAGGACAGGGACAATCCTCTTTTTTCTTGCATTTGTATTCCCAGTTTATTTAAGACAGTGCAATCACTCAGACCATAGCAAATACTTAATAAATGCTCTAGCTATCTAGCTATCTTTAAAATTTTCCTATAGTTGGCCCAAGGCAATTTATCAGGAGAGAAAGCTCTGCTATGGGAGGCTAAGTGTAGTTCCGTCAGAATTTGCTAACTTTTATCTCCCCTTGGCAAATGCAGGCAGCTTCCCAGGAAAGGCCCAGGTCACCTCGGATGTGGCAAAACAAGCTATCCATGGCCACACACATGAAAGGCTAAGTGGGCACTATATACCTCTAACTATATACTTAAAATTACCAAGATTCACACCAAGATTCAGGGCTTATAAGGCGCTTATTCCAAACAATCCAATGAGGCAGAAATTATAAGTAATATTATTCTCATTTTACAAATAAGGGAAATGATGAAAAATTATCTGCCTAAAATCAAAACTAATGGGAGCCATAAAGTGGAATTAAATTTAGATCTTCAAGTCTGATTACTCTTAATCTCAAAAACACCATTCTAGACTCTCTGGTGCTTTTTTTTTTTTTTAATCGGTTCACCTAGGGAGCCCAAGCCAAAGAAGTCACTAAGCCCCTACATGTCTAGGGGGAGGAGCCAAGGACAAGAGGAACCTGGAAGAATGGTTGTCCTATTGGCAGGACCAACAACACATGGCTGAAAACCCCAATCAAAGACCCAGAGGCTTACATAAAGCCTATATGTGTGACCCCAGGAAGAGAGGGAGAGGAAGAGCTAACAGAGAGAGGAAATTATTAAACTGCTCCTATGATAATCCTGATCCATCAAGGGGGAGGGGAACTTTCAGAGGTAGGAGATAGAGGAGTGCCATGCTCCTGTGCCCTGTATAGGCTTGCTTGGGCAGAGGTACTTTAGGACATGGGAAGGAGATAAAGCCACAGTCAGGAAGCAGTGATGGAAACTCAGGAAGGACAGCTCACCTGGGATTGAGCTGCCATCAATGTTAGAGGAACAGCTGCCATCACCTGTTCTCCTGGGTTCCCTCAGGGGAAAGGGCACAGGTACTTGAGGAGCAGGCAGATGCTGGAAAAAGACAAAGGAACCAAGAGTGACACCAGCCCTGCCCTGTGGTTCCCCTACTCACACCCATTGGGGCTCACCTGCAACCACAGGATCTTAAAGGGGTCCCTAACACAGCCCCTCTCTCTTTCACATCTTCCCCACCACTAAATCACTACCAACCCCTTGCTCTAGCTCCCACGGCAGTAAAGGGGAACGTCTGAAGCACTACAGTGGATTACATAAAAAAGCCCCATGGTCCCCAACACAGAAAGACTAAGAGATTCCTAGAGGTGCAAGACAGGTGGAGACACTGACAAGACATATACATCAGCCCACTTACTGCAGGGTCCCCAAGGAGAAAATCTCCTGTGAACCTTGCTTTCAAGCTAACTCACAGTTGTTCTATCTTTTCTGGAGCCCTTATGTTCATCATTTGTCCTGAAGTGAATTTCTGGCTATAACACTTTTGTTGTTGTTGCCGACTCCTTTCCATTGTGTCCAACTCTTCATGACTCCATTTGGGGTTTTCTTAGCAAAAATACTAGAGTGGTTTGCCATTTCCTTCTGCAGCTTATTTTACAGATGGTGAAACTGAGGCAAACAGGGTTAAGTGACTTGCCCAGGGTCATACAGCTAGTAAGTGTCCGAGGCAAGATTTGAACTCGGGAAGATGAGTCTTCCTGAATCTAGGCCTAACCGCTCTATCCACTTGAGCCACCTAGCTGTCCCATAATTTGTGACATTTACTACCTTTATAACCTTGGGCTAATCGTTGTCCTTTGTTGGGCTTGACTTTCCTCATCTGTAAAATGAAAAGGTTATACTAGGAGCTCTCTGAGAACACCTCCAAGTTTTCAAATTTACTGGTAAAAGTAAATAAAGACATTCCAAAGCCAAGCAAAAATTATTTATGAATTGTGTACTGGTGTGGAATTATTCTATTTATAAAGACATAGAATCCTAACTTGTTACTAGATATCTACATAAATATCTATATAGCATCTATAACTTTTTAAATCTAGATGTGTAATTTCAATAGCATTGGGGATTTTCTGGTATGGAAACACCTTCCACCAATGCCAAGTGACAATTCCACTAAAACTTACAGTGTTAAAGCCTGGGGCACTTGGAGGTTCCCTGATTTGCCAACGGTGTCATAGATGTTCCATGTCATAGCAGGATTTAAATGCTGCTGTTCCTGACTCCAAGGCCAGCTTCATATCTACCACTCCAAGAAACCTCTCCATCTATTTGTATCTAGAATACTTGGCCTTTTATTCTCTCTCTCAATCTTTTGTCATGGACCATCAACTTCCTGTTGGTTGGCTCTTCCTGCATGTCTCGTAAGCATCTCAAACTAAACAGGTCCCAACCAGGACTCATCTCATCTCCTGAAGCTGCACCCTCTTCTTTCCTAATCTGTACCTCCTCTATGCTTCCCTATATAATTATAATAATTACTATTTATATAGCACTTTAAGGCCAGCAAAGTGCCTGACAGATGTTATCTCATGAGAGCTTCACAAAAACCCTGGGAGGGAGGTGATATGATTAGCCTCTCTTAAAAAAAAAAAAAAAAAAAAAAGGAAAACATGGTAGCACAGAGAAGTTAAGCTACTCACCTAGGGTTTCATAGCTAATAAGTGCTTGAGATAGGATTTGAACCAACCAGCTGGTTTCTGTTAATGTTATCACCGTTCTCCCAGTCACTTAAGTTAAGAATCTCAGAGTCACCTCTGATTTTTCCCTCTCCCTCTCCCCATGGCCAATCATTCATCAAGTCTTATGGATTCTACCTCTAGGACATCACTCCACTCACACAGCCACCACCCTAATCAGGTCCACATCATCTCTCACCTAGATTAAAACAATGATCCCCTAATTGAGCTTTCTGTTCTCAGTCTCTCCCTTCTCCAATTCATCCTTCATACAGCAGTCAAAATAATATTCCTAAGGCACTGGCCTAATCATTTCATTGCCATATTCAAAAATCTTCAGTGTGGCTCCCCATTGCCTAGAGGACAAAATGCAAACTCCTTACTCTGTCATTTGAGACTCTTTACAACTTAGTTCCCACCTGTCTTTCTAGTCTTATTTGATATTGCTCCCCTTCACACACACTCTTCAAGTCAATCTTAACTACTGGCCATCCCCTGAACTCACTATTTCATCACCAGTCTCTGTACTTCAGAGGCCTCCGTGGCTGAAATGTCCTCCCTCGCCCCTCCTCCCCTCAGAATGCCTGTATTTCTTCAAGGTTCAAGTAAGATGCCACCTCTTCTGTGAAGCCTTCACAGGTCCCCACCAGGTGTCATTGCCGTTCCCCTACTCAATTTCCTTTTTTTAAAAAGGAATTTTATTGACGCCTTTTGTTTTTGCATCATTCATATCTGTCTATCTATCTACTTCCTTATATATATACTTTCCACAGTAAGCCCTCCCTTTTAACGAGGAAAAAGAGAATAGCAAAACTAACCAACAGTGACTGCATTTGACAATGCATGCAACATTTTACATCCATATTTTCCTACTTCTATAACAAGAGGCCCCCTCCTCAATTTTCAATGTACAATTCTTGGTTTTATACATGTTCTATCACCCACCATCCAGGAAAATGTAAGCTCCCAGAAAGAACAGAATGTTTCCATCTTGTCCAGAATAGTCACTTACTATTTGCTGAAGTGAATTTTTTTTAGCCTTCTGTCCATGGCAATAACTGACAGTTAACCAAAAAGCAAACTGCTCCATACAAAAAGAACATCTTTTACTCTTCTGTCAGTACAATAACACATACTTGGTCTCTGAAGGGACTCTAAGTATCAACTGGATTTAGGAGGATGAAAGGAGCAAGGTCTCCTAAAATTCTATTTCTTATAAATGGGATCCTTCCTCCCCATTTACACTACTATCCTAGCCGTGAAGGATGAACTAGTCTCTACATGTGGGGAGAAGGAAACATTCTACGAGTCCCCTTCTCAGTCCCTCTTTTCACTCTGGGTCAGGCTTGAACTTATGAAAAGCTGTCATATAGAAGAAGGAGTTCTGCTATATAATTATCATGGCCAAGCTTGGCCCCCAAGAAGAGTTGAGAAAAAACATCTCCCTCCTCTGTTAGCAGAAAGGATATGAAAAATTCTATCTCTTGTCAAATACAGTTGATGTGTTAGTTGATTCTGCTGACTTTTTATTCTCTTTATTTTTTAACAATAATGAGAAAAATATTTGCTGAGAATCAACATTTTCCCAGACCTGTCAGTGCAAACACATTGAGCAGAAATATACCCATTAGCCTAAACTTATAATACATTTTATTAATCTTGCCGTTCCTCACACATGACCATCCATCTCCTATGTCCTTGCCTTTGGCCAGGCTGTCCTGATGCCTGGAATATATCCCTACTCACTCTGCCTCCTAAGAGCTACGAGTTTCCTTGAAAACTCATTTCATACATCACCTCCTATACTCCTACCCTACATTGCTATCTCTCCTAATCCCTTCTACCTGCTATTGCTTCCCCACTGAAACTACCTTGTATTGATTTTGTATTTACTTATTTCACAGAATCACAGATCCAAGAGCTGGAAAGAACCTCAGAAGTCAACTAGTTCAACCCTCTCATTTCACAGATGAGAAACTGAGACCCAGAGAGGTTAAGTTACTTGCACAAGGTCACACTATTAGGTAGGGCCAGGACTTGAACCCAGGTGTGACCCTAAATCAAGCATACTTTCCATTTGTGCCATACCACCTGTCATAAAGACGTAGGTATACACTTGGCTCCCCCTATAGAATATAAGCTTTTTGAATAAAGGGACTGTTTCAGTTTTGCTTTTTTATTCCCAGAGCCTTGCACGGTGCCTGGCACATAGCAGGCACTCAATGAAGGCTTGCTGAATGGAATGGAATGGGCTGCCCAGGGAAGTATTACTTCCCTACCACTGGAGGTCTTCCAGTGGAAGCTGGATGACTAGTTTGTCCCGGATGCTGTGGAGGTGAGTTATTAGGCCAGCTGCCCTCGGAGGTCCTTCCAGCTCTTGGAGACGGTGAACAATCATAACCTATCCCAGAGTGGAATACGCTGCCTCGATGAGTGGTGAGCTTCCCAATCCTAGAAGTCACAAGCAGAGGCTGGATGACCGTTTTGGGGGAAGTCACCTCCCTCAAGACATATTACTCAAAATTCAATCAATAAACAAGCATTTATTAATTGTTTACTATGTGACAGGCACAGCGCTGGGGACGGAGGTGGGGTAAGCAAAGTCCAAAATGAAACAGTTCCTGCCCTCAAGGAGCTTACATTCTATCAGGGGAGACAAGATGGACACGAGGCCAGGAACCGCATCTTCTATACACTCCGAACATCCCGCATCTCCCAGCCCTGGGCTCTGCACACAGCAGTCACTTAACGAGTATTTGAGGCAGTTTGTCGGTTGGTTCAATGAATGAAATCTCACACATCCTCCTCCTCCACCTCTTCTCAAGGGTGGGGCCTTTGGCCTGAGCCCCCACGGGTGGCCTTCTGCAAGTCCCTTTCTCTTCTGGGGCCTCAGTTTACCGCCACTGTCCAATGGGGTACAGGAGATGATGGCGAATCGCGTAAGAAGCCTTAAGTTTTGTGACTCTACGACTCCTTCCCCGACTCCTCCCGCTCCCCGAGCCCATCCCCAGCCCCGACTCACCCCCCCCACTCGGAAGCAACCGACCCCGAGGACCGCTAGGGAGGCCCCGAGGGCCGAGGCTGACAAGAGCCGGAAGCAGCTCTGCAGGAACCGTGGGGGGCGGGGAAGATGAGGGGAGGGGCCGCCCGGTGCTCCCGTCCGGGCGCATCCGGCCGCTCTAGGCTTACCGGAGGCCTCGCCCTCTCACTGGCCTACGCCACAGGGGAGCTGGGGGGAGCGCGAGCCGAGCCGGGGGGGGGGGGGGAAACTTCCCAGGAAGCCCCGCCCCTTCCGAGCCCCGCCTGAGGTCAGGTC